AATAATAATAATAATAATAATAATTTATTCTCAAATAACAGTTTGTTACATGAGGCATGCCAGTTTACAGGCACGATCAAATTGTTACAAATGATACAATATCTACTGCAGTAAATTACTTAGCTGGGTTGATATTTTATAAGATATGAATGTAGATGGTTTTAATCAGTATCACAGTTTGCGCGCTTCATGAAAGTTGCGTTGCGAATGTGCAACTGAAGGTCAATGATAGGTCCCCTGAAGGTGGGAGCTTCTAAAAGTCGCAACCTTATATCCCTTTGAAATATCGAAGGCTTTGAGGATGGTACAGGATGAAATCACGCGTTCCATATCACAAGGGGGCTGAAAGAGAGAGCAAGTAAAAGAAAGGACGAGAGGCAGAGTAGCCAATATTCATGAAGGAATGTTTAAGGTATGATTACTCAGTCCAACTTTCCTTTATTAAGATATTTGTTAAGAAAGTGCATTTTAATAGGTTAAAGAAAATAAGTGCAAACAGGGTATGAGTGAACATACAACTGACAAATGGAGGGGATTCGGAAAGGAGCTTCGCGCAGTCAGTGTGGCGTGGGATTATTTGTCCGGACAAACAAAGCCTCTCAATATTCAATATAAGATAATAGGAAATATAACGTCTATAAAAAATAAGGAAGTGAATGAATACTTGAACTATACTGTTTTGGCATATGCTTAGTTGTTTCAGGTGAACTCTTAACCAAACAACCTAAGCTGTTACAAGTGTTCCCCAATGTGATTGGTTCATTTCTGTTCCAGTGGTCATTACATCACAGCTTTATATATTTATGACAACTCTTTAGTGTTTCTTTTTATCGTCTGTGACGGATATGTATAGGATATTCAGCGATTTGCCTGACAAATGTGCTATCGTGCCTGCTTTGTGATTAACTTTGGTTTTAACTTCTGTAATGGCACTCCTGACCGGATAATTTATATAACACGAATCTACTGAACGGCCTACACTTTGTAGTGTTCCAACTACAATAAACCTAGGTACTCCAACCATCACCGATGTATTTGCCCACCAAAATAAAAAGTATTTCTGAGTGCCTAGTTTGAGGCGTGTGCTGTTTTGCTCCTTCCATTCCTAATAGCATTACTATAGGTGCGAACCTGTGACAGAATACGGATGATGAGTTGCTGGCCTTTAGTGTTATAGTCATGTATAGCTGAACGAATGCACAAAATAAACAGTTATGCAAATCATCAACATTTGGTGCCGACCTCATTAGTTCTAATGTACATATTTAGCTGAAGGCGCCCCGTCAAGCATCCGTACCAGATCACGAGTATGTTATGCTACGCTCCTCAATATTTTGATGGCCTTTCAATTATATCTTCGAATCTCTTCACCCCTAAGTTATGATTTGACTGGGCTAGCATTGTTCAGTCCTAAAGGTACTAATGATACAGCCATTGTCCAATTACGAATACATGTGGCATCTCTAATTAAATGACAACTAGTATTCGTGCCATCCTGATGTTCAAAGTAATTAGTCCCGTTAATAAATTTCGATAGTGTAATAACAAGACAGCGATTATCAGAACTATGTGATATATTGGCTCAATACATCTAGATCCCATCCAAAGACGTTTATGTAAGAAGGCCCAATCAAACGATCCATTTTTAGAAAACCAACGTAGATATGTCAATACCTTAGTTATTATAGTTGTTCGCCCGTGCATTACAAACTGGAAAACACTTATTATTTACTGTTTTACAGAATTCTATTGGTTAAGCCGGTGAGCTACCATATACAACCTATGGCCTCTATTTACTACTTACAAGGGCCAAACCTTTCTAATATTGAAGTCTAGACTAACAAATGTCTTCTGCGTATGGACAATTACGTGAACAAATTATGCACAAGCCGGGGACAATTGTGTTTTGCATTTACCACGTGCATGTTCACTCATCTAGTGAATTATTTACAGATAAATATAACAGCCATATGGAGTGTTTTCAGTTTTTGGAATAAGCGGACTAAAACTAAAAAACACACAGCGATAGTTAATGAAATTTTGCACCACAACTCTTTGACGTAGTCACCTGAATATTCTATCATAGTGAAGTAATTTACACATACGACACATTTTCGCGAAAGTTGTTAACTGGTGAAGCGCTTTGGTTCACTGTGCCTGTGTGTACACGTTCATTGCTTAATAATCCTCCGACAATGGTGGTAGTTATTTACTTTCCCAATGGCATGACTCACTGCACATTTATGTAGTTATCAGTAAGAGCAAATACATAATATTTCATAAAATTGATTTACGTACCCATTTGTCAAATCGAAATGAAGAATTATAAAGCAAATACCTAATTATTTCCGAGTAACACAAACAGTTGTGTGTGGAAGTTATCGACATGCGTTCCATTGAACTATATTAGATACAAAAATTATGGTTGTACGAAACAGTTTATTCGTGTGTCGCTACTACTGATAAATCAAGAACAACATTTTGTGTGAGATAATCTCAATCCATGCACGGAACATTTTGTTTTATTACGGCTCCTTATGGTTGATTGGGATGCCACAATTCAATGGTATTGATGCCATTTTCTTGTGCCGAACACCTCTCTGACTCATTTCCGTGACTGTGAATTGGTTTTTCTTAATGCTGAAAAATCCTATTGCAAGCAAGCCTGGACAATTAAGCTAAATAATAGTCCACTTGTAACTCTATAAAAGTTATAATAAAAACAAGTTGTAATAATTTTGACGAAAAACGCCAGTTGATGTCAGAACACTGTTTTCCCTTACTATATATCGAGAATACGCATCCTCAACTTCCACACTGTGCTTCCACCACCAATTGCTCGTAGCAACGCAACCCTCACAAAGCGCGCCAACTCTCATATTGGATATCAGAGTCATAATAAGATTAATGTTGTGATGTATGAAAATTTATACTCTGCTTAGATTATTCATGTGCGCTATGACATATCTACATAATTGAATAACCTAGCAAAATAAAGCCCGTAGCATTTGTAGAAGATCAATCTCACCTGTAAGCTGACATATCTCATGTAACATATTGTGATCTACGAAAATATTACTATATAAACCAACCTAAACAGTCGTTCCATGTTTTTAACTGCTTTAGTTTGTGAGCTACATAATTGTTTTCGATCAAGCTATTGACAGAAGATACAAGGCTACTCATTGGATATCTTGGTTTTAATGCTTCACTTTGACATGTGTTTGAAAGGTTGTTCGAACAAGACTGGCAAAAATGCCGCCATCAGTTTTATTAACTTGCGTTCGTTATACTAACAGTGACACTGGATATGAAACTCAGGCTGTATTCACTTGCGTGGAGCGGAATATGAGCACACGTACTAATTTTCATTCGAAACAATTGCAGACGCATTTGACTGACAAACTGATGATTGTAATTTTTAAAATGCAGTGAGATTGTGTGTCTAATTATCCAGCAAATGTGGTACTACTTATCGACTAAAATGCCTTTTCAAAGATGGTTACCAAAATCACATAATATGATCATCAAATACAAGTTATTAGGAATGAAAAATATCAACCACTCCTAAACAGGGACCACTCGTGTTAGGAAAACCTAATAATCGCAAAGAACCAACATCAATATGAGTGGTTCAAAGAGCAATAAGATAAGACTAATCAAGGACCATGGAGTTATTCTTAGCTAAATGTCTGCAGTTAGTTGCACAGCTGAATGGTTGTGAACGTCAAAAAATTTCACACTCGAATGACATGATATCGTCTAGGTTCCAGTCCGTTGGGCTTACTATATGCCCGTATAAGCTAGTTGTATAAGTTGATGTCGTCTTGTTTAAAAGCTTACATCGATGACATTCTACGTGTTCAAGGTAAATCATACGTGGCTGGTATGAAATACATTTACTAACAAGGAATGGACAACGACTTTCGGGAGCTCGTTCATCTGCCTCCCGTTTGACCGTATAGTTATCGTCTTAGTCTGCATTGTTGAACAATGGGATAAAATAAGTCAAATACGGTAAAAAAAATCTTCGAAGCGTATATTTCAAGCTCTCGTTAATCCATACTAATAATCAGGGAAAGTGAGAGGAGAAACAGACAGAAGAAGCCAAGTGTGCTAATTCCATTTGATGAAGCTTTACTCAGTTTTTACAGCCAGACAATATAAGTTGCAGACGTGTGACGAATAGAATAAGCAATACACATATATGCGGTTGAACAAGAATAGTTTGGGTTAGTACGAGGAAAATTAACAGGGCAAAAATGTAAGTCAGGTGCAAGAATGAGCTAGTCTTTCCGAAAATTGGAATAACCTATGTGAGTCTTACATTGTACAAGACACTACAGACCGACATTTCTGCGTACCAAGTTTTTCATGCGTATTAAAAGTGTGGAACATTGCATGCTTCATAAAATTAATGAACTTACGAAGTATCTTTACTAGTGCAGTTATCTGAAAAGTGACTGAAGTTTACATCTTTCCCACTCTATCTGACCTGACTGCCTTCGAATGAAAATAAGTTGTGACCTACATTCTTCTTATAAACGTTAGACGCGAAATTATCTGTTCACCATTCTATTCCTATTCTCCATGCGGTCGCATAAGCAGTCGACTGCTTATGAAAACCTCTGTTAAAGCGTACCTTGATGTTACCTTACTCTTCATGCAGAAACTATCATTTTATCCGAACGAAATCATGGCTTACTGCTGATTTCAATACTTGGCATTACCAATTCTAACTTGTCAAGAACAACTTTATCAACAATATAAACAAACATCATGCTGTCCACGGAATTCACCAACATATCTTTAAGCTGGTTATTACATTAGACATGCAAGACAGAATAAAATAATTCTGTCAGAGTTTGACGGACATATCACAAATTGAAACAAGACAAATGCCTAATTTATTGAACATCATTGTTTGTTTGAATTATTCATTTTGGGAGAGTTTAATAGTTATATTAGTTAACGCGTTAACTATGATTCGAAGTCGCAAAATGACTTTAGGAATAGCTCTAACCATAGTGTTTTTACTGAATTTATGTCAAACAAAGCATGTTTGCAAAGTCCCCAGAGCTTCACCAGTAGTAAGGATTTACTTTTAAACTCTAAAAACAAGATTCATGCTACGTCATATGATTCCCTATCAAAACGGAGCACAGTCAACACTCAGTTGAAATTTTCCATCGTATACACATCGGGATTTCAGAATAATACTCTGTTTGAACAGATAAAGGTTGGTTGACCCCATGCGTTTCCCTTGTCTTTGTTATAACTATCACAGTCCAATTCATCTAATTTGTCTCTCTATATGTGTTAAACCGGTTTGTTTAGAACTTTTAACAATATCCATCAATAATTCAGTTTTGTCACAAACACTGAGAATTCAAACAATGGCTGTTTCTCTAAATGCGTCGTGATTATCCACTAATTTAATGAAACAGTTGTTCTACTATTCTGAGTTGTTTTGCAGTTCTGTGTTGGTAATATGTTGACACTACTCGACAAATGGTTTTTTAGGACGTATTTGGGTCGATTTGTTGTCTAAAAACATAATAAGTGCCTTGTTCCTTTTTCAGTAGGTTCCAAAAAACATTTATGAAACTCGATGTTTGTATGCTGATTAATTTGTATGCAACTCCACATATGGCTTCTATTTTATTTTATGCAATGTATATCGTTATGCTTTATTCTTGGAGGAAACTCAACCAAATTATATACTGATGAATATTACCGCTCCATATAGTATCAAAATTCTAATGAAGTGATTACAATATTGAATATTTTTTTCGTTATTGTACATTATCCTGCCGTTTGTCTAACCATTCAAAAATATCAGCAGTGTAGTGGAGATATCAAACGAAAGAATGTTTTTCACTTTCATGATTTTAAACAGAATTAGCGCATATTATGTGACTAATTCTTTTAATATAAACATATCATGAATAGCAAATATTATGAGATGGATTGACTTTGTTTCGTATCGTGTGTTCATTCCTTCAAAAAAATCCAGTTTGCTGCAAGGCGTACTTTAGAAACATGTTCTGTCTACCTCTGAAGACAGCATTCTGCTGGGACATTTTTCTGCGATTAGATAAAACCCTTGAACTGTAAATATTATCTTATCCTATGTTCAACTGAACATAAATAGTTCTTGTTTCTTGTTATCTTAAGGTCTATGAAACTCACCGTATCTTATGTCTTGCACTAACACGCAAATTTTGTTTTGAGAATTCGAGCAGCAAGACCAAGCCAGCTCATCGAGATGGCTTTTGTTATGATATATGATGGAATTTATTTAAAATGCTTCGAATACAGCAACGTTTGTTCAGTCCCATCTGACGTCTGGTATTTTGTAGCTCGACTATTAACACCTAGACAAATGCTGATGCTGGTGGATTGATAATGGCTATATCTGCTTACAGACTGTGCCTCCCATTAAGTTGGGACTGCAATTGTTTTGTGCATTATAGCATTAGTTCTTCTTGCTTTTTCTTCGGAACATTGATCTAATTGGAATGATTAGATATAATGCTAATAGTTGCTTAAACGAGGTCCTAGTCAAAACAAACTCAAAATCAATTGACATTGCTGACATTTTGTTTAATTTGCTGTCATCTATTGCATTAAGAACGTCAAAGCTAGTCTCTAATCTGTTTATGAATAGATTTTTCTCAAAAACATGATTAATTAAGTCTATAGTCAATCAATTCTTGTTTAAGTGGGTTTTAGTGAATTACTAGATTTTTGAGTTTTAAGTACAAAACACAATTTTAGGAAAAAATTAAACCTAGCTATAAACATACACAAGCTATTTCAACCGATATGGTATTATATAGCAGCTGATTTAAAACCTCTCTAATGTTCTTCACAATGCCATGTGTTTGTTCTACTTGTCTAAAACGAAGCACGAAAACTATTTCATATAACTTTGTCTACTTAATTCAAGCAAATTTGTCTATTAACCATATGAAATTGGTAGTGAAGTCATATGGGAGTGACGGTCATTTAATAATAATTATATTAACTTTTAACCTCATGTTTACAAAAAGCTTGACGAATATTTAGTACCAATAAAGCCGCTATATTATTTTGCTATTTCCACAACTGAATGATTTGAGTTGATGTGTTTCAGTTAAGCTGTCGTGAAGTTTGGCAATTTCAATCAATGTTTCTGTGAATATCTGATAAATTTCATCTGGACTTGAGGTTAGCGGTGTAATATAAGTTTGAAAGTAATTCGAGATTTTCAGCAAAAAAAATGACTGTAGCTGATACTTGGTTGAACATTTTAGTTGATTTGAACAAAACGTCCAGATATATTTGCATAGTTAGCAGCTTTTAACTAACTGATGATATCGTAGTTGTGATGACTTGACAAAGTACTGATGCCGCTTCCTGTTATGCTTGTGGACGCAACTGTTTACTTACCATCGTGTTGATGGGCGCAAGGAAGAAAGGTATTAATTCATACAGAATTTATTATGCAGCAACCACCAATCCCCGAATGGTCTAAACAACTTCAGTTATTGAGTGCATGTATTCAATTTTCAGTGTCAATATGTTAGCCAACTGGGTCAGAAGAATTCTTAAAACTACGATAATTTGTTCAGTTTTCATTGAAGGTATTCGAATAAGTGTAATGCTTATGTCTACTTCCTTGTTTATTCCAGTAAGACTGCTTCAGTCAATGCGTCTATTCACTAAAATTAATCCTCGAATTTTGTGCAAAACGTGAATGGTTAAATTAACAGTTATCGATGATGTTTTCATGTCATAAGGTCTCAGGAAGTAATTACAACTTGTAGTTAAGCAACGGTTTTCCGCTAAGAGTTTTCGACGTTTATTGTCGCTGTTTTTCGAAAACAGAAATTCAATTTTAACGGTTTTGGCTTTTATAGATATTTTTGAAGTCATTTTAACAACCTGTGATAATGAAGAGTATTTGAATTAAAGTATGAACTAAGAATCTCAGAAATAACGTAATTGGATCAAGCAGTATTAGATAACCACAAACGAATGTACTGTATTTAGAATTCGAAATCAAGCATTCAACAAGTACAAAGGTGTCATTAGTTCATTCACACACCACACAACCACATAGACAAACACTATTCTTGGTTTCCCATTATTTGATTTATGTTTTGTCAACTTGATCAGACACATTACTAAGTTTTAAGTTTACATATCTATGCACATCGTGCGTACTAAAATTATAAAACTTTCAGCTCTATCACCATCATTATTCACATACATTTAAATTTAAATTTAAATCTTATTTTATCAAATTATTGGTTCTAACCTTTTCAGTATTCTTTCAGATAAGTATACTTGAAGCGCATTTTGTTTGCTTGGCAGCTAAATTGCCATAACTAGTTAATGCTTGGCATATTTATGTATGAATTCAGATGTAAATTATCTTGTTGCTGTGAATTTTTAATTCAAAATACACTTGAAAAGCGAATGATTAATCTCACTTATTTTGAACTGCAACATAGTACTTTTTATAAATATAATAAAACATTATTATTTTGTCATGGACAAATAATAGTAATGTATTTATTATGTTTTAGATGTGAATATTTTCATGATGCACTTGTGAGATCCTTGACCCACAAATACATCTTTACAAACACTTCTGTAATTATGTAGTGCATAGTCTTTTTAAAATACTTAATATTTAACATAAAAGGCCGTGATTCAGTGAGAGAAAAGTATCAAAAATTCTTACGAAATTCGGAATCATATTTATACGTAATTACGTTCACTAATGAAAGTTCATTTAATTGTTTCATTACTCAATTGGAGTAATTGAACGTCTCGTATTATTGTACATCACTTATGATATCCATGAATTAGAAACAGATTTGTTAATGAGATAAATAAACGTTTTGTCTGGTTTTATTTGTCATTGATTTTTGATCTTATGAAACACTGTTGTTACATGTTAAAGACTGCAACAATTGTTTCTGCACTTTTTAAAGACAAAAATTGTTTTGCCTGCGCTTACGTACTGGGAAAAATCATTAGGTGTGAAGAAGATTGCTTCAGACAATGTCATACTTGAGAGGTAAGACAGATATTCTTATTTTTGATAGCTTTTTATTCAGATCGTCGATGTTACGATAGTCGTAAATTAATTATAACATAAACTCCTCAAATCGTCCAGTAAGCGATAATAAAATTTTGTCTGAAAAGGTTTAGGCTGAAATTTTGTGGCAAACTATATGTTTTGACTGCAGAAAATAAACCTGATTAGCACCTGTAGAAGGTGAAATATACCCACCTACGATTTTTTAAAAGTGTGCAGTCAGTCAGTCAGCTACAACGTAGGATCAGGCACGTATGTGCATCGGTCCAGGTTGCCATACCGCATCAGCACAACAAGATGAACACCGGATTCATAGCAGTGGTTAGGTCAAAGGTGGTAATATATAAGAGAAAGATTGCATATAGAGACATAATACAAGGAGAAAGAATTGGTTCGTAGAAAGAAAGATATGAAGCGATTTTAACCTCTTAGTTTAAGGGAAGACAGGGAGTGTATACACCGACGCCCTTGTGACCGATTCTGAGCCATGTCACCAAGAGCCTCCAACCATTGGTTACGATAGTGCAGTGAAATATTTTAATCTCTTTACGTTGCTTTTACTGTGTTTGTCATGAAAATTCAAGTAATAATAAGCTTAAAACATAAATTAAACAACGCTTCTGATCTTTCCTAATCTATCTTTAGAATTACAATTTTTATTGAATTAATTAATATTTTATAAATCTGAGTGCATCGTCTAAATGTTATGACCAATAATATGTGAGAAGGGAGCTAGTGACAGTCAAACAACAATATGGTATCTGTCTATGAACTTGCTGACAGATGGAATGAACCGTGTAGGTAGGTAGAGACTATCTATTTAGGGTTAATGTGATTTTCGTAAACAATAGTTACAGACTGTGAGACATGTTCGTTTGAACTTTCGTCTAAATTTGAACGGATAGTTTTACAGTAATTGAGGGCGTACAGTATCCAGGTAACGGCTGAATAAGGTGTTTATATTCTATATTTTTGATATTTGATTATATTTCCTTGCAAAAAGCTTGAATCAGTATAATGGGTGGAACGCTGAATTTTTAAAGTTTATTCGTTGAACTTTCTTACTCAGAATCGTTTGAATTAGCGCAGATGGATTCATTTTTTTTCTCTCCTTGGATTCTAAGCTTCAAAATTATCTCAAAGTTGTTTTCCCCATAGACCTCTACATTCCCACTTGTTTCATATTTTTTTATGCCTAATCTTCTTCACTACCACTAATACTGTTACTTATTAGATTACTGCAGCATCTCACTGTACCAATGTAGTGTAACAACTGAACGTAACACAAAAATTTACCAAGTTTTACACTCCCCTGATCGACTGACTTGTTAACCCTATGAAGCAAATAAGTTAACCCCAAGAATTCAACTGAATACTGTTCATCACTAACGAAAAACGAAATTAGAGAATTAAATTGAAGTACTGGACTAGTCGTAAATTTTTTTTATCAGATTTGTGTTTTTATAGGAATGCTAACGTTTACTTTGTTTTACAAGACAATGTTTGGATGGGCAAACGTCATATGTAAAATGGCCAAATGGTACAATTGGTATATATTGCAATAAAGGTTGTGAAAATATCACTAGATGTTTCACAGAACCCATACCTGATAACTATCTTAATGTGAGTTACATGTGAATTGATCTAAATTTATATCTATTCAATGTTTGGTCGTCTAGTCATTAAAAACCGTGAACTTTATGTTTACAAATTGTGTTAGGATCTATCCCAAAGCCGGTTTTGTCCCTTTCTTATGAGGTAGATTTAATGTAACTTTGTCTCAATGATATGAGCTGTGAATAAAACGGAAGTGAATGATATGCTGACTAGATAAGAATATTGATTATCCATCCAATCGGAACACAATTTTACTTTTGTTTATCAGCAAATCTCCTGTCTTGGCAACTTCATGGTGAATTACAAAGCGTCTATTCAAACCAAGTGCTTAAGAATTCGCAACCTGATGGTTGGATTAACATAGTCTAAGATAAAGTGTAGGATTTTTCAGTATATTCTTCCAGTCATTGCAATAAGCCTGGCGACTGAAAAGCTCCCTGAGATTTCAGGATATATTCACTTTCCTTGACTATTTATGAAGTCTTTTATGCCAAGTAAAACACAGTATTATCAAATAGAATGTGATATATTTTCCATTTGGAAGTTTAATTCTTATTTATTTAGTTCTAGCTGAAGTAAGTAGGCAGCGTTATACACTAACAAAATGAAACCATAACCTAAAAACTCTGTTGTCGAACTTCAGAAGCTCGTTAAACGTAGTTTAATAGGTTTTTTGGCATAAAAAACAGTATACAACATGGTATAGTTTCTTATATATGCTCCGTTTGCCATTAGAAGGAATAATAATAAAGCCAGATTATTAAGACAGTTTAGGCGTATAAGAATATAATTATTAACTGGCTTAACTTGATTGCTGATGCAGATGCAGAGCCATATTTGAGGTTGTTTTAAAAAGTTACTCTGGTTTGCCTCACAGTAATAAGCAAAAACTGATCATTTTTTCAGTTTGGGATCCAAGTGATTTTGCAGCCGTTAGAAAAGCGTTATGCTACAAAATTCACATGGATAATGATAAGTAAGAGATAATTATTCCGGTAATTATTTGTTTTTCTCATATGATTGTTATTTAGTTAATTGCTTAATGAAGTTCATTTTTATTTCTAAAGGGATGTAAAACGTTTGTTGCGAATAAGCCTAGTATACAAGGTTCAAGAGGATCAGGAATACCACCAAACGGTTATTTGGTTTTTGTGGATGCTTCAGCAACTGAACCATGTCAAAGTGAAGATTTGTTGGCTTATGCACTGGCGTGTCAACTGGAGTTTGGTACTGACAGGTAGAACGCTTAGTTTTTAATGTTATCTAGTTTTCCATTAACTGTTTTTAAATCAATAATGTCATAAAAACGATTATGTAAAAGACAAGTTAACCAACCTAGTTGATAAGACAAGGTTGTTAAGCTGAGTACATAATTCATTCCCTAAACGATTGTTGACGACATTCAACTTTAGTGTAACTTAGACTGATTTTTTAATCCATAAGTACCAGTATTTTTATATTACATTGGATGATAGTTTGGTTCTAAGAATATTTCCATTCAGTCATCATTTTAGTCATATTAGAGAAAAGATTACTAGCCCATTTATAGGAAGTAACGTTCTATAATTTGTATGAACCTAGCCAACTGTATTTTGATATTCTGATTTACATTACATGTAAATCAATCAAAATGTAATTGATTTACGTTACTAATTTAACGGATGGTTTAAAATATTTTCCTCTCTCTCAACTATACTACATTATTACGTCAATATGATAATAGGACTAGTTACGCTGTATCAGATGCAGGATTCACGATCCAGAATAGGGAACTATATTAACACTAGATAATACTTAACCCAATACAATTACAAACAGTCACACTCATTTAGTCTGAGGTAGTAATCAGTGAGAGGAAAAGAAATCATCGAGGGGATTTTAAGAGAATGTAGCATTTTCATAGCTGCAATCACAAATTCATCTAAGATAGACCACTAATGAAAACCTGTGAGCACTGGATTGATTGAGGTTAAACATTAGCACCGTTGGATGCCAGCTCGCGTCCGCGTGCGAGACCGTAGGTTCAAGATTCGAAACACTTATGAAGGATTGTTGTATGCGTGATGCTTAGGATTTCTATAATGGGACGAAACGGCCGTTCAATGTTTCCAGGTTCTCAGTGGATGTAAAGGAGATCATATAATCGATAGTTTGTGGGTTTGTCGATGCTCAATGACCAATATTATTTCCTTTTGACTTCTACACATCAGTTACATCTAAATCGATTATATTTTTGATCGTCAAAGAAAAAAACCTATTAACTCAAAAGAAATGGTGGTTATTTTGAAATCTGAATGGTAAATTCAGTTTATAAGTAATTTTCTACGTCAGTAAAATATTCATTTCCCACTAAGTATATATTCTAGTATGTTTTAAGAAAATTTCCGCTGTTTAATTTATTGTGTCCGAGTCAGTAAACAGTTGCATTGTTAACAATGCTTTATTTTTTCGATTCAGGCCAGTGGCAGGTTACGTTAATATGTGTCCAACTCAACTGTCAATAAAGCCAGAAGACGTTCGTTCAAGTATTTCTACTTTCATTCATGAAATGGCACACGCTTTGGTTAGTTATTTATTCATTGAGAGCAGTTTTATAAGTTACTTAGAATGTAAAGGTTGATGTACAGATGCATTTGTTGTAATAAGTACGTGTATCAGAGTCATGGTTTATGTTGTACTAGCGGACTGGAAAAAAGTGGAAGACTTCGAGGAAAAGTTTATCTAGTCTCCGAATACTCTCCAGTTGTCTATCATTGACAAGTCCTTCGGATTAGAAAACAAACTTGAGCTGCAGCTCTTAGAAAAGGTAATAATTAAATTGTGGTCGTTCATCACGAGTGACTTCCATATGTCAAAAAACACTAAGACTGATAAGAAACAGCCTAAATAAATAGAGCTAATTCACAAATCTTAGTTGTATTTACTGGGTGCATTTCACACTTTGGACAATATTTTCATGTTTTTTTCTAAAATTATTAGTTCTTATTTATTTCTTCTGCTTCCTAAACAGACATTCTCAGGAAGGAAAGGAAACAAAGTTTAAAGTTAATATATTGCTGATGTTCCTCTGGACAAATATGCGTTATAAGTTTTGTTTACAACTATATGGCAGGATCTCTCGATTGTCAATGAACATATTGTTTCATCATAAATGTTTTTTTATATATCTATTTGTGGATCATTTATTAATAATGTAAACACGTTAAATTAGTCAAATTATCTATTTCTAAAAGTGCAATAATTTACCTTGATTTTTAAGTTGACATAATACCAAATGTCATTTTGCTAAACATTATTCATGCTTAAAACATTTTTGCAGGGATTTTCAAGTACATCATATGCATTTCTACGTGAAGAAGATGGTACACCACGTACACCTAGAGACCCTCAAACTAACTTACCTGCGCTTGGTCAAGATTCGGACTATATTTATCTAGCCAGGTAACTGAGAAACGTATTTTGTTATTAGAAATTTGTCTGAAAATATCATACAGATACTAAGCTTCTGCGTTATAAAAGAAGACTTACATTCGCTGAAGCTATTAGACGTCTTACCACTCAGTGAAGATGACTTCTTACATTTAAATCCTAGATGCATTTTCTTACTACCATTAAATTAAAGTTTTTGGTCATGTTTAACATGACGAACAATTCAGCCTCTTATATTCAATATTTAGCTTATCATATATAAATTGTCTCTTGTTCATTAAGTGTTATTCAAACTCTGTGGGCATAAAGGGCAAACATTTTGTCTCTGAAAATTTTAAAACCAGATCACAGATGTCAATGACTGAAAATTTAACCAATCTTAGAAATGTCGGTGCACTGTTTATGTGGCATCATCACCTTTGGTTTTAAACTTCAAACAGACACTGTTGCTTACTGCTGAATAAAAACAAGCTGATTTAATAAATATACACGCTAATTTGAGAATCAGATATTTTAAGTAACAGTTTATCCCAAGCTTTGTGAGATGAGCTGGGTTTATATCTTGAACATGACCTCAGAGAGTAAAATGAATAAGCTGTAGAGTCAAAGCCCTGTTTTCAAATAAACCTTCAGATTTTATACATATGGCACGGTTTTAGTCAATTAACTGACTTCAAAATGTTAACCTTGAAAAAATTAACTATTTTGAGCTGTTTTAGTAATACTAAACACCCGAAATTACTACTCACAGTCTATTTCTTTCTTTCTAGTAAATCGACTGTTACAAAGGTTCAGCGAATCTGGGTTTCTGCAGTCTCCACAACTATACGAACTATAGATGTTTTTGTGCTTCCAAGTGTATTGGTAAGTTAATTTTACATTATAGGTAACTGAACTCAAGAGCTTCTATACGTTATCGTTTACTGAATGAAACAATGAAACTTCAGTGTGCTCTGCTAATAATTTACTACTCCGGCTTCAATGGTGCAAATGAAACTACCACACTTCTCTTTCTTTTTTGTTTATCTAGTTGAAAATTCTTTTCATAAGTTATATCATTATTAGAAATATGTTATTACTCTAAGATGATTTTGCATCTATGATTCCCAAGAAAACGCCTCTGTAAGCATTTCTGTACAAAATAATGTGAAATATTTTTTCAGTTGAGACTCAAGAGATGGTGCAATTCAGTGATTTAAGGTACAATCAGATGTGACTCAGAATAGAAGACAGTGAAGATTCTACTGTAATTTCCTTTATCGTTCTTCACCAAAGAAAGGGTAACTCGCCTGACTGCAAGAAAGTTTTCACTGTTGCATTTTTCATCTGTCATCTCACATATTATTATTGTTAACCCATCTACTTTATTTCTACTGATTGTAATTTCTCCCCTTCTTTATTTTTGTTACAATCTAGCTTCTTTATTCGTGTTGGATGAACAAAAAAAAGCAGTTTAAAAGTAGTTTCTATTTGCGTGATTGTCTGATAAACGTTTTCATAAACTGAAATCCTCGAAATGTAGATGCTAAGTGATAATGATGAATAAAAGAGATTAAATTTAAATCAACCATTTTTGGCGACGAATGGTACTTACCTCAATAAATAATATTATGTTACTTATTATTCCACTTAATGCTTTATAGATCCTTAACCTGTAAAAAAATGTTTTCATTTTTATTGCTTTAAGATATCCGTTTGCACTTGACTTTTAGGCAGAGGCTAGAGCTCACTATAACTGTCCTACAATGGATGGAATGGATTTAGAAAATGATGGAGGATCTGGAACAGCTTTTGTTCACTTTGAAAAAAGAATCACTGAAGTAAATTACCCATGATTTTAATAACTGACTCACATGATAGTACAATAAATTGTTTCAAATTTTCTATACATATGTAACGATTTGAAATGTTGACATAGTTCAGACTGTGTCAGATTACCATTTTTGGCTTTCGTTTGTCATTTTCAACAGTGATCGTAAGATTTTATTATATAATCACATTATTAAGGATGTTTTTTATGTTTCAGGATGAACTCATGTCAGGAAGTTATTCAAAAGATTCTTACGTGTCTTCTTTAACGTTGGCCTACTTCAAAGATACCGGGTAATAACATATTTATTAAACATAAATCCTGATGAATTTGCAGAAATAAAGCACGTCATAGTATCAGTTAAAAAGATTTATAGTTCAGATGGAAGATAATACATTTTTCGAACCAGTCAGGTTACTTTTAAACATTTTATCATCATCATTACAAGCTTTGGAACATTTTTCAAAAGGATGTTATCTAGAAAAAGTAAACCTCCAAGTTAAAACAACTCCCTTTAGAGAACACATCAATGATAGTCCAATAAGATACTAATTTTGATTTGCTAGACTTTTGACTTTCTACATGTTAACATGTATTACTTATAACTCTTGTAACTGCATTTATCCATTCACCATTGTTTAACATCGGATACTATTTTGCCCTTCAATACGAATAGGGCTGCAAACAGCTGATAAGAACCCTCAAAGTAAAGCCAGTGTATATTATTTTGCTTTAGTCTATTTTTTTATCAAAATTCGTAAAGATAACTAATTGAATGAAGTTTAAGACCACATAACTGAGTTATTTCTGAGAAATTTCATTTTCTGTAGGTGGTTTTCAACACGAATCGATCTTAATTCGGATATTACTGAAAACCAAGGAGCACTGGGTAGCTGCTCATTTCTAAAATAAAACTTCTCAGATTTGCGGATCAGCTACCTCACCTGTGATCTGGACGCAGACTTTCAGAATTTGTAGCAGGCGATTAACTACTGGACCCGCTCAAATAGGGTTGAATTTCTTGCAAAACCAAAAATAGTCATTCTAGGAACTTATTATCTCCACTGTTGCAACTTAACTATGCATTTTGAAACTTTACTATTTATTATTCTTGTGTTATTAAATTTCATTGCAAACTACTGTAGCATTTACTTTAATTAAAATTCAGGTGGTATAATGTAAATATGTCTATGGCCCAAAATTGGAGGTTCGGTAAAAACTGGGGATGTGAATTTGTTCAACTGAGTTGCTACGAATACATGAAAATACAAGTGGCAAAGTATGTTAATATAATATTACATTTTTGTTTTTAGTATGAATGTTCATGGTAGCCTTTTTCGTTAATAAAAGTATACTTTTCAACATTTTGACGCGTTAGTAATCTAAGGATAATGAAATCAGAGTATTTAACTTGGTATTGTTAAACAAAATGGTGAGATGCTGTTTGAAATGATGAACTTAACAGTCAATTATTTTTACGTAAAAACATTCATGGATAGTAAATTGTGCCACACATATTATGGATTTATTATTTAATTAATGAAACAGAATAAGTACTTCAATAGTCTTAAGTAATGGAATTTTGTATTATGAATATTAAAGTGCACTCACTTTTTTCCTCAGGCTTAGAAAGAATCAAGTTGTGTAATAATAGTACTATGGTCTCAAAATATCTGCAGAATTTGAAACAAACACGCTTCACTCGATAAGTGAGCACAGAATTATTTTGTGGTTCTGTGAAATGAAACTAGGTAAACAGTTAAAGTTTATTAAGTTTTGTTTCAAATTTTATCTAAGTAAGAAATATATTGAATTTTTTCACAGAAATAATCCTATCACCCCTTATTGCAATAAGCTTTCAAGCACTGATGTAAAATGCTTAGTTTACGACGATGCCTTCGGCTCCTGTGACCTTCAGCGCCAAAAAGAAAAAGTACCTGGGGAAAATCAATATTTTACCAGTATAGATGGTGTTTCTGCTTCTGACTTACCATATTATGCAGGTGGACCTTCATTAAGTGACCGCTGTCCAATACACAGGGTTTGTTGTGTTTTCTTTAATTTTTATTATAAATTTATATGACTGTTATGTGCTAATAATTTCATAATATGCGACAATTAGTTTCTCTAATAAATTTGGATAATTTAGTGAGGAGACGGAGTTTATGTGTGATCAGATTGTTTCAAATTTATTACGCTAATATGTCACATAGTTCTGAGAATCTTCTTATTACGCTATCCGAATTTCAAAATAATCTATTTAGGAATCAATCTGCTGTTTGAAAACTAGTCTGTGGACGAAACTTTAATACAAGCAGATTGTGTTAAACAGTGCTTGTATTATGAACGCTTACGATATCCTACAACTGTTTGTCCTTTTTCCAATTCCTTGAAGTTTTTCACTCATCGTAGTATTAACTGATTGTATATAGTACTATATCCAAAGTTGAGCAAGTGTTTCCATTAAAGGACTGTATGAAATCATTCATTATGTCGAGTGCATATGAGGTTAGGAAATTCTTCAATAGTGTTATCAATGTGCATCATATATTAACATGCGTCTATTAAACGCAAACTAACATTCATTTACTTAGTCACCAACGTTATTAGTGACATTTTGTTGAACTGAGTGCCACTATGTGGTTTTTTCATTGTGCTCTGATTAAGAACCAGATTGCTTGTCGTAATAAGTAATATTCATGTTAACTTTACATCTTGCTTGACATCCGAATGTCGACTCATAGTAATTCAGTTATAAATGAATGTTGTTTCAAAAAATAATCGATGTAAGTGCAAACATTTACAGATTGTGAAATCTATTTTCTATTTAAACTTTATTCATTGTTGGATATTGAAGTATTCACTAAGACTGTAGTCAGCTTATAAATCTGCTAGTTCAGACTGAAGACCATAAATCATTACCTAAATTTCAGAAAATGGAGTCAGTAAATCAAACTATGATAGGAACTTCTTTGGACTTCACTCTTAGATTCTGTAGTCTGAGAGGATTGTTGTGAAACTATTTGTCAGTACATTCGTGTGTACTAAATTATAGGCGTTATAATAGTGACGTGACTGATGCCTAACAGTAAAGTTTTTACTCATCCGAAATGATCTACATTAGTTTGATTTACAGATTGTACTGTATAAGTTCGGTGTTATTTATTTCTTGTTAGGTTAATGTGATTTGAATAGCATGTATTAAATAGCCATATTTTAACCACGATTATTAACAAAAATCATTTAAGTATTCAGAAGATAGTCAAAAGAAACTAGTTAGAATTAATCTTGGTAACTTTACCACTGAAGTAAAATAAATACACTTATTTTGAACAACGATTTTTATATACCTTTCATACCTTTGCTTTGAAAAACCACTTTACTTATATCCTTAAAAGAAAACAGTGGTTTGACTATATTATATTTCCAAATTAAAATAGTACTTGTGAATCTGATAGTTGTTTGAAATTATATTTATTTAGCCATTTGAACCAGTAACGGGATATAAATATACATCATATTGTCGTCATACTGAAAATCAAGATACCATTGGTTTGTGATTTCTATATTCACTATTATACAAAATTATTGGTTACCTCAATATACTAAAATAGTTGGCGCATTTTAAATCTGAAATTTTTCCTGCACTGACGCATATTTCTAAGATTGTTTTGGTGTTCATGATGGCAAAAATTTAACATGCAAATAAAAAAACTGTGTATTTTTATAACTAGTCATTACCATCTGTCACTTTCAAACTACATTGCACAATAACGCTTTATAAACTTCTTTTAAGTTTTATTCATGGTTGGATGTTGGTGATGTTCATGTACATTTTCATTCATTTATTAACGGATAGTACATTTGGATTTAGTTGTGAAACAAAATTGCCAACATTATTTTGAAACTAACTAACCTAATGGCAACACTATTTTTATCAGGCACTTTCGAAGTTATTTATATTCAGTTTCTGTCAGCAAAACACTCATGTATCTTTCTAAAAAAATAGTTATTTATTGGATTGGGTGGACGATTATAAAGACAAAGGATTTTTATGTTGAACTGTTTTTGATTTTGATTGTTTCATGGACTTGGACAATCTAAGGGTATATTTTATGTATTGAATGATGTATTACATTCAGTTATGTATTCGTTTATTGTGAGACTTATTGATGGACTGTTATGATGTAATTACAAACTTTTATCTGTTAAGGTGGATTATGTGACTAACGTGAGATTTTACCACATTAAGTAATGTTAGATATCACTGCTACCATTTATGTCTTCATTCAGTCGCATCCACATGTTGTTAAATCACCTACGTCTTGTTAAAACAAATTTAGTATTCAAGGTATCTTTTATGCTCTACGCGATTTGTTTCTATCTATTTTTCAGTAGATACACTCACTAAGCGCAATGAACTATAGGAAATGATGACACGGTGAACAGTTTTTCTCCTTGTTTTTATTTGAATAACAACCATTCATCAATGCATAATTAAACCATATACATTTTAACTCTTCTGTCTGTTTTAAATGTTTTGAATTTGTTTTCAACATAGAACGAAGTTGAATCATTAATGAATGAATGCGGAAACACTATTTACGTCTCTCAATTAACGATCAGAACACAAACTATTTGAAAATCATTATAATAGACAATTTCAGTTTATATTTTTCTGCAGATAAAGTCGATGATAATAAAAATATTATTGTTTTCAATGAGATTCTCGAAACTCCTTACGCCTAAACATTTGTTTTGCATGCACTTAAAAGATATTTGATATTGAATTGCGTACCATAAGGAAGGAGACAATAGCCATTAGGATGTCTACTCTCTGAACTTAAAAATAAACCAAATGAGTGTATAGGTGTTTTGGGCTTCTGCAAAAAGAAACGTTTTCGAAAGATTTCACAAGAATAAACCAAGAAACAGTATCATAATGTTATTTTTCTAATAAATCGAAATCTCTGAACTAACAGATAAAATTTTACTGCTTTTCAGTAGTTTTATGTAAACTCTGCAATTTGTTTTATACGTGAGAGTGTCTTTAGGAAATTTGATTGATACACCAGTCAAATGATGACATATTGCTAAATGAACGACTAAACTGAAATATTATCTTAGATTAATGTTGACGAGCAGCATTCAAAGTAGTTATAATTTTAAGATTTTATACAATTTGACTTGATAGCTGTTAGGTTAACATGGAACAAGACAATTCTGTCTCAACTTTAATTCATCACATGAATTAGTCTAAGATGAAAATTGCGCATTTTATTTTGTTAACCTAGTAGTTTTTTTTGTTTATCAGTGTTGAGCTAAATTCAACACTTAAAAATCTCTTTGTTTCAGATTCGCAAAACAATTATGCTTTACAGTATTTTGGTCAAGATTCAATATGTGTTAATCATGATACATACGCACCATGGATCAGTATTGTAGGGGGATTTTACAGAGATATATCTTTTCCTTACGCAAGTTGTCATAAAGTAAGAAAGTTGTATACATGTACAAATATTTTGACTAAGTTAATTAGCTGTATTAATAAACAAAATAAATGTGACTGTAGATTATAATTTCTAGAGTGAAAAAAGTGAAATGTCGAAATTTTTTAAATCATGGATTATATGCTGATTATTCTAGGTTTATGAAAACTTAGCGGTCGTAATAAAATCTACCAAATTGTGTTGATAATAATTACCCATAAGTCTTTGTAGAGGTATGAAAAATGAGTTATTTGTTTCATCACTTAGTCTCTACATAACTAAATGTTGAAATGAAAGACTTTTTCGTTATCTTTTCAATAGTGAATTAAGTAATATGTATTTTGTTAACACCAAACGAATAGTTTGTGGTAAACGAAACGTTTTAGAACCCCTCAAACATTTGAAACGTATTGATTTAATTAAGTCTGTACACTGAGTAAACGTACTCCTCACAGTTAGATCAGAAAAATAATAATAAAGACTATGTTTTATTTTCTAGTACAATTGTTCAAGTGTTGGTATTGAATTACTTGTTGGACAACAAGTTACAAAATGTTCTGATGGAGAATCTATTCCAATAAATGCTTACGGTAATAACATTAATGCCAGAGGATTAGTACTATGTCCAACTTGTAACGCAGCTTGCAGTGTAAGTAACTTCATTTGTTGTTTAAGTCTACATCTTATGAATTAATTCAGCATCGTAATATTGTTGTATTAATTGCTTTACCTGCTAATTATTTATTAAATTAAAACAAAATTTAATAATTATGATATTTATTTTTTATTTATTTATATGCTATTCGTGGTTGCATTCGGTTATGTTTTGAATGAAAGTGTCATAAATTTATACTACTCAAGCTCTACTTACTTTTAGTTCCCCTTTTTTTAATCGACATAAATAAGGGAAACACTCATCGCAAATATTATTTTATGAAGCATTATTATTACCTCACAAGGGGCGAGGTCATGGGTGCACACTGCTGAGGAGTCCCACGATAGAACGAAACGGCCGTTCAGTGCTTCCAGGTTTTCCATGGTGGTCTAGCTTCAACTGAATCATGATCTTAACCATTGAAAATACCAATTAGTTAATTCTCAGAGAAACTTATCACTGCTCATAGGTCTTATTGATTAGTTATTCTATCATATTTTACAAATACACAAACTTGGAATTGAAAATATTTTATTTTATTTAGATTGTTTCTTTAGTTGTGAAACAAATTCGTCATACAGAGTTCTTATTAAATCCGTGACTACAAACAGAAATGATCATTAGTATCCAAAAAACATCGATGTATAAGTTCTTACACTGATTTTGGATGTCTTTAATATCTTTTGTATTTATTTTTCTTTGGACTTAGGTTTGTTCCTACACATCTATTGTAAGCAACCGAACCAATTCAGCAGTTCATACTACCAGTAATAACAATATATTACTTATTCATTGGATTATGTTGTATAACGTTTTTAATCTACATATTTTTCTCATTTAAAAGCCTGGTGAAGACTATAATGTAACTAATGGATGGGTTCCGTAGTTCTGTAGTTTATTCAATTGTTTACATATATTAAATATATTCTTCATATAAATATATTTTTATTTCATTCATTGTTCAACTGGAGAATATATTTCTCCGATAAAAATATCAGTAATTACAGTTAAGCGTCAAGTAAATGTTAATTGTTTTCCACTATAGTCACAAAATATATGAACCTACCCTAAACTATATCCAAGGTTTTAATCATATTCCGATGATGGATGGAAATTGTGAAACTGATGATTTTATAAGTTCTAAGTTTCGAATGTTGTTAAGTTGTATTACATAGAATTCAGCTAAAAATAGTTATTATATTCTCAATTGCATTTAATTTTGATCTGAAACCTGAGTTTTTACTTTCATGATCTTTAGATATTAAAAGTATACACGATTAAAAAAAGAACCGCTTAATTGATTTTTTAATGAATTCTAAGTGCAGTTGACATAGATGAGAACATGAAAGTAACCCAAAACAAGTATTCCAGAAATTTTGTTTCTAAGAAATATCTTTATGTAAATCTTCGACTTAAAGATAAGCAAACTTCAGGTATACTTAAGAAGAATGTTGTCTTACAACTTTTTTGAGGCAAACCAGTCTAACTTTAGATTGCGTATCGTTAGTAGTTTCGCAATTCAATAAATTTATGTGTGTACAACTTTTATTAAACTCGCTATGATCGTATAAATTATCTTGAAAAACATTTCATATAAATAGAAGTGTACAGTATGTGGAAATGAAATCTCCGAAAGTAAAAATTTCTTTGTTGGAATATTCATTTCGATTTGCTATTTCTTTTTTTATATTTGTTAACTTAACCATTACCATTACTAAGTACAATCAGCTGAAGTTTCAGCTATTCAATAAACTTTGGTAAAGTTTATTCGGAAAGTAAGTGATATACTGTTCACTTACTTGAAGAATGATCAACGAAAAAAAACAAACGTTTTTAGAATCTATGTGACAAAAAGTATCATACACATAATAGTGTGACTGAGATATGAATATATATATATATATATAATGACTATCAAATGATTGAAAATAACTTTAAGACATTTCGAATCAGATTCTATAAGATAAGTAAAAAAGAAAATACTAAGCATTATTTCGAGAGCAAAGAATATTTCCCTCACGTGAAATGATGAAATGAAATACATAAGCGAAGAAAATGGTTAATTGTGTGAATTATTTTGATATCACTTGATGTTTATAAATGCACGTTCAATATGAGCTAAAATTTGTTTAGAATGTGAAGGAAAAAAGAAGTAACCGTGCTCCTTCATAGTTTTTATTTCATGCACTGTTTATATTTGCTCAATTGTGTTTGCAACATTAATTTCCATTTAAGTCATTCACGTTTTACTCATTGAAAGGTAGGGTAGGTTTCGTAGAAGAAAGTTTTAAAAGAATTTTAAGATAAATCTTTACTAGCTAAAGTTAACATTTGAACGACTTCAAGATAACTGCATTTCTGTGAATATCAAGAGCCTAGCTACAATCAGTGTTTCGGACATTTTTTGATATACCGCCGATGTTAAAAAATAGGATGGAGTGGAAGTTAACTTCTCAGGAGCACAGAAACTAGAAAAAGGATAACAATTCAATTACTATATCGACTCTATGAAGTAAAAAACTGCCTATTTGACAAACACGCTCCTTGAGAGTCTGTTACTCATAATGACTACCTCAGCTTACTCTGCAGATTCAAAATACCTCAAGTCCAAACAGTTCAGTATGGTGAAACAAACTTACAAGAATTTGAAAATCCTTTGTAATCTGGGAACAGATCACAGCAGACGGGTATTTAAAATTGTCTTTCTCGGAATTCGTCGTACGATTTCTGCGATCGTTAGAATTTCAAATCGAGTGAAAAAATGTTTTTAGGGCATTATTATTCGTACTACAAGAGAATCAAACTTTTAATCGATATAGCAAAAGTTTATTCGCCAACAACGGACGCTTTTGCAGGTTAAATAAAGCTTGCTAAAGCTTTAGTGGCCCGTTGATCTGACTCCATTTAGAGCGTATAAATGATTGCTATCACCTATTCTCGTATATAATCGTCGACTTAATCGCGTTAGCCAATAACGGAATTAAATAAGTCGAATAACGAGAATTGACTTGAGAATACATATATTTCGTACATGAAGCGAATGAAACATAGCAAAGCAAAAATGACACGTATGGAAGATGTCTGGGAAGCCAAATCCACTTTAATTAAGCGTTACTCAATATTTATAGGCAGACAAAAATAAACTACAGACATGTGATTAATAGGATAAGAAGGTAACACACATATACGCTCATATAAAATCAGTCTAGATTAATAAGCGAATAAATAACAAGGTCAAAGTATGGCTCGAGTAGAATGAATAAAATGTGATGTCCGAAAGCTAGAATAAGGTATATGGGCTTGGCATAATGACTGACACTACATAGCCCCCTCGTAGAAAATAGCACATTTAAAAATGTCTGTTTTCGAAAATAACAGTGAAGTGATATGAGGTAAATGTTAACAACAAGTAGCGAAAAAAATTGTACAACACTCGATAACGTACAGTGTCACATGAGGGTTGAGCGTGTTATATGAAAATGTCATACTTATGCAAAAGAATACATGAATATCGAAAAGGCGCGAACAAAAATGGAAACGTTAGCATGCGAATATGAACAAATTAATGAGCGTACAACAAATTAACATGTACTGATTCTATGACTGTCTGAACGATAAAATAACAAGTTTGTATGAGTGATTCAAAATATCGTGAAAATAGTAATAAATTGTGGGTAGGACAGCGAAATAAATCGTCAAAATGAGTCGAGTAGAATATGACAGAAGTTGGTCTGTGATGCTGACGAAATAGTGAAATACGTTAAATATATGTTCTGTTGAGCCGCAGCAAAATAAATAGCATCGACTAACGATGAGTGAATTCGAATTTAAATGCGTAACTACCGTTCGTAGGATGATAATAGGCAAGTCGTGAAATGATATCTGCATCGACGGGTGATATTCGTTGCTGTACTGCAATTGATAATAATCATAAAATTTGAAGTCAGTGAACGTGTTCGTCTGCGTTATGACAGATGCATTGAGTTATCATTAAATATGTATTAGTAGAATGACCAGAGGAACCGAATAGTGACTGAGTAGACGAGGTACGTAGAGTCGTATTCCTTTTTGGTCGTGAAGCCTAGAGTGGTTTGTGTGGCTTGAGGGAGATGCGCTCGATCTCGTTTGTTACAAAACCGTACCAAGGCATGACAAAAATACCAATACATATGGTTAGCGATTGCGACGTATGAGACTGACTTGGATGTGACGAACAAGAGTGTATCTTTGAGAGACTAGCTCTAAACTCTATGTTCTGATATACAGTGCGATGGGTATAGAATAGTAGTTGCAGTACTCGAATAGCGTTTTTGAATGATAAGTGATGCAGCATGTAGTTATGCACGTGGAAGAATAGATAAAATGAACGTAATGGTTACTAATCAGCTAGTTAGAAGCATCCACAGACATAATAAGAGACGATTTCGAAATGAAAAATGTATGTTATGATAACATAAATTGCTGACCTCGACTAAGTGAATGAATGTAATATTAGATCAAAATGACATGAAAAAAATTGGAACGAACTCACTTAAAGCAGGAAAATTTCACGTTTTTGAATAGTAAAAATATCCCAATGAGTTCTCACAAAGTGGAGTGGAATTTTCATAAGATGATAATTTGTTCGGTGAGTGATATGATTGCGACAATGTCATAAGTTAATGACAGCACGAACAAGATTAATAATTCCACATTCGGTCATGATATTGGCAGTAATGTAATAATAAGCATATAATGATAATTTTAGTCGTAATTGAACAAACCGACGAATGGATCAATGAGAATGGTTGACATGAGTACAAAGTATCGATAAGATAATACGACTTGAGCATGTCCATGTCATGTTGCACAGGGTGTGCTGATTGCGTCGGATTGGATATTGCGCTGGCTTCGCTGAATTTGTTCGTCGTCGGTGGGCTTATCATTTTTGAGACCCGTCATTTTGATTTTGTCCTCGTTTAGATCGGAAGATGTTCGTTGAAGGGCTCACCATTTTGGTGGCCCGTAGTTCTCGACTCCATTTAGAGCGTATAAATGATTGCTATCACCTATTCTCGTATATAATCGTCGACTTAATCGCGTTAGCCAATAACGGAATTAAATAAGTCGAATAACGAGAATTGACTTGAGAATACATATATTTCGTACATGAAGCGAATGAAACATAGCAAAGCAAAATGACACGTATGGAAGATGTCTGGGAAGCCAAATCCATTTTAATTAAGCGTTACTCAATATTTATAGGCAGACAAAATAAACTACAGACATGTGATGAATCATGAGACATGAAGTGTACACACATATACGCTCATATATAAAAACAGTCAAGACTGATAAGTGAATAATTAACAAGGTCAAAATATGACTCAAGTAGAATGAATAAAATGGAATGTCCGAAAGCTAGAATATAAGATATATGGGCTTAAAATAATGACTGACACTACAAAGCTTCTCAAAATCGTTTCCTCAGTACTTCTTTAGATATCTTTTATTCGTTGTTTATGAATACTGTAATCGATGAAGTGAACATTATATGAAGCAATCCAAATGTTGGCATGTTTTATTTACTTATCAGTGCATTTTCATAGCATAATGACAGAAAATTTTCCGAAAATTGAACGTTATTACGGATGTTATTGGTTTTAGCGGGCACTGTTGGCTGATGGTGCTCAAGCAAACATTTTATTCAGATTTATGATGCTTCCTCGGCTCTGTAGTTATTGGTTATGACATACGCATACTATATATTGTTACACAAGAACCTCACTATATTAGAAACACGTCTTGTCCAACTTCTTGAAGTT